AATGCAGCAACCTATTGTACATTTCCCAAGTGATGATCCATCAGGTAAAGCTAGCAGGCAGCTTGCATTTCTCACTGTGATGATTCAGCTTAGCAAGCAAGCCTAGTAGATGTATTTTCCCATGAGGCGATTCAGCTAGCAAGCAGGCCTAGCTAGGGAAATGTACAATAGGTTGCTGCATTAGTTTGAAAGTGTTTGAAATGTGATGTTGTAGTTTGGAAGTGTTTACAATACACTAGAGTTGATGTTGTGTATACAAAGCAAATATATTTAGCTATAAGTACATGTGAATATTGTGTTTATTATTTCAACACAGTGTTTTCTGTGTTTATCTAACTTAGCCATGTTCCCTGAGTGCTTGTTGTTAGTCTTTAAGCGGCGGCTGGACAAACACTTGTCAGGGATGCTCTAGGCTGATCCTGCATTGAGCAGGGGGGGGGGGTGGACTAGATGGGCTGCGTGCCCCTTCCAACTCTGCGATTGTATGATTCTAATCAAGCCACCTCTCTGAAAAACGTCCAAGCCCCCAGCAGGGGTCGCCAGAAGTGAACCATGACTTCCAGGCAAGCACACACACACACAAATACAAAAAAAGAGAGAAGCCCTATATAAATGCAAAATATTGCCGTTTATCACTATCCACACACACAGATGTGCTGGTATCTGACAAAGGGTGCGGTGACCGTCGAAAGCTCATGCCCTGGAAATCTTGTTGGTCCCTAAGGGGCTCCTGGATTCGAATCTGGCTCTTCTACCGCAGACCGACAGGGCTACCCCCCGAAAATACACACAAAAGACAGAGTCCGGCTTTCTGCAAAAGACACGGTTCCGACGACATCTATCGCGCGCCGCGCCGTCCAGCAAGAATTAAGGAAGCCAAGGTTGTTGTTCAACATTTATTTGTTTTTCTCGTACTGCCTCAAGGTGAGTCCCTATTGTTACAAAGGTCACAGACACAAGACTAATGGAAAAATAGGGGGGGGGAAAAGGTCTCGGAAAACACGCCTAAATACAAAGAAAAGACTCTCGGCTAACGAAAGAAAAAAAAGCCGTGTAGTGTTCTTTGCAGATATTTTACAACCTGAAGAGCGGGAAAAGAAGCCGTTTTCGCGTTGAAATGCCTACGATCTACTCGTGTGTGTACAAAACCGGGTATTTCAAAAGTGTCCCCCTGTTTGGGTGTGTGTTTTTTCCTCTCCTTTTTTTTTTTTTTTTTTGCGATTCTGAAAAGAAAAAAAAAACTTTTACAAAAACTAACATCCAGAAGTCTTGCGGGGGTTTCAGAGGGTTTCTTTTTTTTTTTCTTCCTTTTTTTTTTTTTGCTTGTACATGATGAACTAGGAATCAAGCCTCCACATCTCGGAGAGGCACTACGATAGATAATCTAACATGTTCCTCACGTGTCCTAGCCACTACAAACAGGAGTAGGAGAGAGAAACGGAAAAAAACCAACAAAAAAAACAAAAACAACCCCCCCTCCCAAAAAACCCCAAACCCTGGAGTGTATTCTAGTACACTGCACAAGCGAGGAGGGGTGGGGTGGGGGCTGCTGGGACGAGGGGGGAGGGGAGAGCGGGGCTTTAAGCTCGCTCGCCACGGATGCGGCGGGCCAGCTGTATGTCTTTTGGCATGATGGTCACCCGCTTGGCGTGGATGGCACACAGGTTGGTGTCTTCAAACAGGCCCACGAGGTACGCCTCGCTGGCTTCCTGTGGAGGCAAGGGAAACGCAAGAACGCAGTCAGAAGGGGGGGGCAGGGAGGCAGAGAGAACCGTTTTATACGGGCGTTTTGCAACGCACAGATGTGGAGAAGGAAACACACGCGCAGCACACACTCCTCTTCCATCACTATGCCTCCAGAGGAGACAGATTTGAGAGTTGGGGGGGAAGGCATGAGTGGGTGTTCCATATATTCAGGTGTAGACCTGCAAGCGTTAGAGCGGGTCCCCCCCCCCACAACCTTTTTGAGCCTATAGGCGCCATCGGAATTCTGGCAGTGTGAACTGGGCACAGCCACAAAATGGCTTCCACGGCTTGCCTGCAGTCACAGTGAAGATGAAGAGAAGAGGAGGAAGAGACTGGATTGATACCCCGCCCTTCACTCGGAGTCTCAGAGCGGTTTACAAAGTCCTTTCCCTTCCCCTCCCCACAACAGGCACCCTGTGAGGTAGGTGGGGCTGAGAGAGCTCTGACAGAAACTGCTCTTTTTCAAGGACA